GGCTAGAGTACAGTAAGTAGGGTGCTTCTCTTTCATGCGGCTGACCTGGATTTGATCCCTGGCATCCCATATGGTCCCCCAAGTACCGCCAAGAGTAATTCCTGAATGTATAGCCAGAAGTAACCTCTGAGTATTGCTGGGTGTACCCCTTCAATCTAACTAACTAAAATACCCACGGGGGTTCATTAACATTTTGAAGATATGCATATGAGTAAAATTAATGAATAAAATAGAAATAATTATGTCCAACACTAATGAGAAGAGACTTGCCAGGAAAGCAAGCATACCAAAGGCAGTGATCTGAGAAATAGCCCTGTTTGCAACTATCCTGTTAGAAGATCCGAGCCCAGGGTTGTCTACACATGATTTTTACTCGTAAGATCCAAACATTGCTGCCTGGCAAGCTACCGAGAGTATTCAATATGCCAGACACAGTAACAACAAAGTCTCCAATGGAGACGTTACTGGGCCCGCTCGAGCAAATCGATGATCAACGGGAGGGCCTTTACTTTTACTTTTTTTACTTTCTTTTGTCTTTAACTTAAATCTAAGGCAAATGAAAAGAAATCATGACATAAAAACTAAAGCAGAAATTTGGTCTAAGCTGATAGTGTTCCTTTATTCTCCTTTGAATTAATTTAATAGAAGTTAGAAAGGTAGATTGAAATATAAAGATTTTTAAAAATTTTTTAAAGTTGGGGGTGTAGCTCATATTACAAATTAAAACACTGTGATGAGATCACTGACAGCACAAAATTTTACTTTCAAAGGATTACTCTAAGTTTGGGCTATAATCTGTGGACAATAGTACCTGGCATCCTAAGCTTGGACTATAATCTGTGGACAGTAGTACCTGGCATCCTTCGAAACCTGCTTTGATCTCTAGAGCCATAGGGATGGGGGTTACTCTGACAGTGAGACAACTGTTGCTTTGCCTTTTTATCAAGGTAACTCCCACTTAGTTTCACACTGTCTTTTTTTTTCTTTTTGGGTCACACCCGGTGATGCTCAGGGGTTACTCCTGGCTCTACACTCAGGAATTACTCCTGGTGGTGCTCGGGGGACCATATGGGATGCTGGGAATCGAACTCCGGTCAGCCGCGTGCAAGGCAAATGCTCTACCCGCTGTGCTATTGCTCCAGCCCCTCACACTCAAGTCTTTTGTGACTGATTTAAGAGAGTCCATTTCGTTCAAATGATGGCCTTTTGACAGTGAATGAAAGTCTGAACTTGATGTGAAGCAGTTTGCAGAAGAATGATTATCAAGGAACCAGAGAGATAGTTTAAGTAAAAATGGCCTCCTCCTACAAATTAAAGACGGTTGTAAATAACATTCCAGGAGAATTCAGAAATGGAATTCTTCAATCCATTCCATATACCACACTGTATGAAATTATAAATATACTAAATACACACGTGATACAAACTTGTGTTAAACGTGAATTCGGGTACTATTGTACAAAATTGGAACTACTGTCACAATAATTCTTATGACGAAGCCGCAGCCTCCCCTCAAACAGCTGACTTAGCTGACACATGTAGTTCAGTCTATTCTTGGCTCCACCTGCGCAGCCTGCCAGGCCAACTGGCACAGAATAACCAGAGGGTCCTATGGAACACCAGGAAGTCAGCAATTTCATGTCACTCCTTGGTGTCTCTGGAGGAAGCCTCCTCCCTTTGACTTTTGGTACCTGGGCAGAAGGTGTTCTCAGACCCCGCAAGGATAAAATTGTTTGACCAAAATCAGATCGTAGGACACCTTTTTATGTTCTAACCTCTTCCCCATAATCTAATACTGACAGAAATGTGTCATTGAGTTGGAGCAATAGTACAGAGGAGAAGGTGTTTGCTTTGAATTAGGTCAATTCAGATTCTACCCCTGACACCCTATATGGTGTCCTGAGCACAGCCAGCAGTAGAGTACCACTGGATATGGCCCCCACATGCTCTCCTCCCAAAAATCTGGAAGACAAATCGGCCAGAAATATGAGACAAATTTAAAAGTATTAAAATGATTCAGACCAATGGTTTTGAGGAAGGAAAAGGGGATTTCAGTTCTGCATCCACAAGAATTTGAATTCTGCCAACAACCCAACCTGAGCAAAAATGAAACAAACTAACAGAAAACCCAGATTTTCTTTTTAAGCATCTAGAAACGGTTGCAATCCTGTTGATGGCACTTGATTTTAGCTCTGTCAGACTTGTGTTTCAGACAGCAGAGAACTGTATACTTTTGTATTTGGAGTTGGGCTAGGTTTGGGTGGTGCTCAGGGCTTATTCCTGGTTCTGTACTCAGGGATCACTCCTGGTGGGGTCCAGGAGATCATATGTGGTGCTAGGGATTGAGCCCAGATCAGTTGCTTTACTCACGGACTATCTCTCTGGTTCCAGGTACCTCTGTATTTTTTAGTCCTGAAGTTTGTGGCTATTTGTTGGAGCCACAATAGAAAACTAATTCAAATAGTTCCTCTACGTTGTCTAAAAAAATTTTCTAAAGCCTACTCACAAAGGGAAATACAAAAAACAAATCTGATCTTTTCTAGTCTTCTTCTTACATACATAGATAAAGCAAAATTTCATGTACTCTAGGAGGTGAATATCAATTGTTCCCTCTGGTTGTGGCCAGTATAGAATCCCAAACCCTGTGGTTCATCTAGAGTTAAACTAACTGGTCTTGAACATAAAGAAACAACCTTACCTGTGACTTATTTTCTTTTTGTCTCCTGAATAGGTACTCTTAGAGAAATTAAAGTATGAAAAAGAACATTTTTCTAACTGGTGACAATTTCTGAATTCTGTGAAACAGAAATGATATATGGGGTATTTGCTTTATTTCTTAAAATTCTACTTCTGCTTGAGAAATGGAGACAGAAAAATTATCCATGTTTTGGTAGAAAATTCTTCAGGTAAATAAGAAAAACAAACTAATAGAAATATATTCAATGAAGTCTTGTGGTTTTTGCATTTACTTTAATGCACTTTTAAAAATTATAGCAGTCTCTGCATTTCCCTTCTGTGGTTGGCTGTCTGTCTCAGGTTTCTTAAACTTTGTCCTTCTTCCTTTTCACATCAAGGACGGCATCCCTCTAAGGCTGTGGTGCTGTGGAGAGTGCCTATGCTTGGTGCACAGCACCGGGTGTGGTCGCGGGGCAGCACCTGAAAAAAGTCAGAATCTCCTTTCAGTGTGTCAGTAGGGGAGGTACTAAAAAGGTGATTCAGAAATCATGTAATTTGAAAGTGAGAACAGAAGTATGCTCAAGACTTCAAAAACTTGAAAACTTACGGTAACCTCAAGAAACAGTTTGTTGGGGTGTTGGGAGAAAAGCCCCTTCTGATCTGCTTTGAGGTGTCACACTAATCCCTGGGCTTGGATCGGGCGGATGTTCCCAGACCACTAGGGAAGCCTGTTGCAATGTATATTTATTGACCACAGGTCAATGCTGCAATGGGACAGACCCTAGGACAGAATGTGTCGGACAAGGTGACGGCCTATCCATGATGATCAAAGGAAGAATATAACCCTATCTATAGAACTACAATGAAACAATGTAACCCTATCTATAGAACTACAATGAAACAATGTAACCCTATCTATAGAACTATAATGAAACAATGTAACCCTATCTATAGAACTATAATGAAACAATGTAATCCTAGCTAAAGAACTGAGATGAAATACATATTTGTTCTAACCACTGCAACTACGTGACTAACTGCAAATATTCAAGCCTATATAAGCTTCGCTGTTTGCTCAATAAATCGAAACTGCTTGACTGGACCCCCACCGTGCTCTTGTGCTCATTTCTCCGTTGTTGTGAAGGAGGTGGCATAGGTTTGCTCTCTCTCCCCCCCCCCCCCCCCCCCCCCCGCCTCTGCAGGAGGGAGGCTTGGCTCTGTACTCAGTACTCTGAGCAGCGGCCCCTAGCTGAACAGAGGCCAGGAGAAGATCCCAACAACGGGTTTGAGACAGAGCTTGGAGACAGAGTGTCTGGCTCAGCAGGCGTGAGGCCCTGGTTCCGCCCTACGAAAGTGCCCGAACTCCTCAGGGAATGTCATTGGCACTCTCCGAAATTGGAGTGCTGTCCTCGAGGGGATGACTGAAGTCAGCCCTGCTCAGTCTCCTTTGTCGCGATCTGCGGGGTCTGTCAAGACAGGAGTGATCTCCGAGCACTGCTGAGGGAGGGGGGTCGTCCAACAGCCCCCAAATAGAAATACAGGATCAGAAGTACAGCACACAGAAGGCCAAGCGCTGAGTCAGGGCTGTGGGGCCCAGCCCAGCCCCGCGGGCCCCAAGCAGGAGACCGCACGCGAACGGGGGTGGGGGGAGGGGAGGTTGGGGGCGCGGGGCGACCCTCAGGGCTCCCCACCCCGCACCGCGTGAGTGATGACGGCGGCCCCGGGAGGAGCGGCACAGCGAGGGTGCGGGGTCCGTCTCTGCTCACGCGAAGACCCGGCCGGGGCTCTCGGAGGCCACCGAGGCCCAGCGCTTGGGGGGCGCCCGTGGGGCCGCGCTGTTTGTCTGGGGGGGGCCGCCAGGCGGGCTCCGAGAACTGCTCCTCCGAGTCGCGGGCCGAGCGCGTGCACACAACTGCGGAATTTCCCACCCGCCCCCGGCCTTCGGGAACGTTCCATCGTGCGCGTCCGCGGCCAGCTGACGACGGACACGCAGGACTGTGGCACTCTGCTGGAGACCCGTCTTCCACAGGCGGCCGCCTACCTGCGCCCACCGAGTCTCTCCCAAAAGGCGGCGAGGAGAAAAGCAGGCGGATCCTGCCTCGGAGGGCAGAGCCTGGCCTGGGCGCACAGCTACCGGTAGCCCCGGGTAGCGGCAAAGCGGGGCAGACCCAGACGCGACTGTGCGCGCCCCGGGGACGTGCGCGCGCCCGCCCCGCCTGTCCGCGCGCCCGCCCCGCCCGTCCCGCGCCGGTCCCGGAGACGTGCACGCGCCCGCCGCCCCGCCCGTCCGTCCGCGCGCCCGCAGCCCCGCCCGCAGCCCCGCAGCGCCGCGCCCCGGCGCTCAGTTCGCCCCAGCTGCCTTCCGAGCCTGCCCCTGCCCGGTGCGACCCCGCCATGTCCGCGGCCATGAGGCAGAGGTTCGACCAGTTTCTGCACGAAAAGAACTGCATGACCGACCTCTTGGCCAAGCTGGAGGCCAAGAGCGGCGTGAACCGCAGTTACATCGCGCTCGGTGCGTGCGGGGCGCGGCCCGTGGGCTGGGGGCGCCTGCCCGGCCCGGTCGGGGTGTGCGGGCGCGCGGACAGGCAGGGCCGGGCGGGTCGGGACAGGTGCCGAGCTGGGCGCAGCGCTGACGTGTGCCGCGCCGGGCGCAGGGTCGGGCTCCGCTGGGCCCCTCGGGGAAGGGTCTCCTGCGGGGCTCTCCGCAGGGGTCTCCCGGGGGAGGGTCTCCGCGGGGGAGGGTCTTCCGGGGAGGCTCTCCCGGGGAGGGTCTCCAGGGGGTCTCCCGGGGAAGGTCTCCCGGGGGTCTCCGCGGGGGAGGGTCTTCCAGGGGTGGGGGGGGGTCGGCCGGCAGGCCACACTCACCCCCGTGTCGCAGGTGCCGGTGGGCTGGTGGCGCTGTACCTGGTGTTCGGCTACGGTGCGTCTCTGCTGTGCAACCTCATCGGCTTCGCCTACCCGGCCTACGTTTCGTAAGTGCCCGCGCCCCCTGCACCCCGAGAACGGCTTGGGTGCTTTCCCAACTGCTTGTGTGACCAGGACTTCCAGTTTCTGAGCGGGTGGTCGGGTCGGACGGGGCAGGAGTTCTGTGGGACTGATTTTCGAAAGTCCTTTTAGTTACTACGAGGAGCAGTGCCTGGGGCGCGCTGAGAAGGCTCCGCTGGTAGGCCCGCCGGGCACCAGCCGCTGTCCGCGCCTCCAGCCCAGCAGCCCATATGGTTCCCTGTTCCCAGAGCCGGGACTGAGACTGAACACCGCCAATGTGGCTACCGACCCCCCTCCCCCCACCCCGAACAAATACATAAAAGTGATCGTTGGGGCGGAGTGTAATAGGGAGGGTGCAGCCGGCTGATTTGGGTTGGGTGGAGGCTCAACATATGTCCCCAGAACACTGCCACGAGTAAGCCCTGAGCACAGCTGGATGTAGCCCCCAAACAAAAGCACAAAAGAAAGAATGGGGCTGGAGCAATAGTGTAACCAGTAGAGGCTGGCCTTGCATGTGGCAGACCCACTTCAGGGTTCAGTCTGGTGGAATCCCGTATGGTTCCTTGAGCACTGCAAGGAGTAATTCCTGAGGGCAGAGCCAGGAATAATCCCCAGCACTCCCGGGTGTGGCCCCAAAACAAAACAAACAAAGCCTCAGAGCCCCCCAAAACAAAAGCCAGCTCCGAACCAGTCTTTATAAAAATGTATATTCATATATTTCACAAATATCTAAACATACAACATTGATAGGTATATATTATGCTGATGTTTGCATCATTAGGCTAAATTAAAATCCTTCTCAAACTAATTTGTTACTAACTGAGGTTTGTTACCGTGTTTATTTTGAATGTATTCTACGGTATTATTTTGCCATTCATCCTAATAGAATGAATTAGGATGACCTAATTCATTCTATTTCTTGCCCACAAATGAATATTTGTTGTTTCTTTTTTTGAAAATGAGAGTTCTTTGTACTTTTGTCGTATAGAAGCAAATGAATTTTGTTTTACTGTACTGCTCTTCCCAAGAAATCTGGTGGGTTTTATCTTCACTGAGTTGGTCTCTGATTTTCCCCAGTCATAGAGATACAAATTAAAGAAGAAAACTTTCAAACTGGAAGATTAAACACAGATAACACATTATTACACTTTATGTGTCTCAGTGGCCAGGCTATAATTTAATATACAGAGGAAATAGTATTAGAAGTTTTTATTGGGCAATTACATTGAAATGACATAGGTAGGAGTTACTGACTCTCTCTGGTACAAACAAGGCACATGGGCAGTCAGCCGCAGGTGCTGTGCTGCTGCATCCGGAGATCCTCAGCTTGCTCTTGAGCTCATGCTCACTGTCCAGCAGCATTTGCCAAATACTACCCAGATTTTGTGTGTATGCCAAAGGATGCTGGAGCGATAGCACAGTGGTAGGGTGTTTGCCTTGTGTGCAGCCAGCTGGGCAGAGCCGGGTTCGATTCCTCCACCCCTCTCAGAGAGCCTGGCAAACTACCGAGAGTATCTCGCCCACACGGCAAAGCCTGGCAAGCTACCCGTGACGTATTTGATATGCCAAACACAGTAACAAGAAGTCTCACAATGGAGATGTTATTGGGCCCGCTTGAGCAAATCCATGAACAACGGGAGGACATGACAGGACAGTGCCAAAGGATGCCAAAGGCAGACCAGAGAAACTGTTTGGAGCCACATGTTGAGAAAGTTTTCCATGAATTGTCGTCTACTTCAATGCAAAAGTCTCCAGAGCCCTGATTCTGAATCCCTTGAGGATGCATGGAAACAGAATATTCCATACCACGCTTGTAGTTTTGTGTTTCATTTGTGGGAAACAAAGACTGTGAAATCCTTTCCAGACCTGTGCTTTAGGTGTTAAAAGAAATCCGTGTAACGGTTTGTAGCTGCCAAGCTGCTTGGGCTATTTTGACTCAGCAAGGGGAATGGATCTTCAGAAATACTGAGTAGTAAAGCATTTGTACTGGGCGTGCCACGTGGCACCAGGCCGCTGTTGGTGTGGGTTTGGTCACAGGTGTGGGATGCTAGAATTGCAGTCGTTACTCAGTGCCATGGGTTATATATGAGTGGGGATGGCTGTGACTGAGATGTAGACAGGGTTACATCTTCTTGGTGGCATCACTCTAGGAGGGGCTGTTTCTTACTCATTTTAATTTCAAGTCAGCCAGTTTTAGTTTTATTTATAGTCATCCTTGTTTTGGCCACACCCTGGGGCATTCAGAGGACCGTGTAGTGCCAGGGATGGAACTTAAGTGACCAGTGTACAAAACATGTGCTGCAGCCCTGTAGCCTTCTAACCCCCTTTCAGAGGAACCATCATAGAGGGACCCCCCGGCGTGTTTCAGGACCCTCACCCCCAGCCCTGCCCAACCCAGCAGTCGAGGAAACACTCTTACAAAGGTCTAAAATGGTTCTATTACCAGGGAGTCTGTGAAATAGAGATTACCTATTTCTGAAGAGTTTAGGCAAGTAAGTTTTACTTATTTTAGAAATATTTTATTAAGGTAAAATATTCTAGAACAAACTTAACTTTAAAAAAATCTATTTGAGGCAGTTATATTTGAAGGACATCTTAATGGGATTTTATTATAAACCAAAAAAAAAAAGGAATTTAATGATTTAAAAACCAGCAAGTATCTGTAATTTACAAGGCAGGCACCCAGCTTCTGGGGCGTCTTTGACCGTGTGCTCCTGGGCTGCTTGGTGCTTGGTGCTTCCAGGGTCTCAGCTGCTTATGGTGTGCTCAAGTGCTGTGGATTGAACTTGTCACCTAATGCTGCTAAGCCATTGAGCGATTTCCTCAGGCCTTGGTTTGTGATTTTTAAAAATTCCTTCACGGTTTTTTAAGGATTCTACGATGCAGCCAGTGTTCAGAACCTGTGTTCTGGGTGGCCATGGTGATCTCTACCTTTTTCTTTTTTTGATGATGGGGAGGGCAGCAGTGCTCAGGAATTACTCCTGGCAGTGCTTGGGGGACCATATGGGATTCTGGGGATTGAACCACGGTTGGCCACATGGAAGGCAAGCACCCTACCCTCTGGACTCCTTGTGCTTGTGTAATCTATACTTTTTTACCCTTGAAGATGATGTAAAACGAAAGGGAGAATCGCCTCCTTCCCCTGAGAATGCTCAGCATGCTTGTCAAGCTCTGCTTTGACAGTCAAGAAGTTGAATGGTTTGTGCAATGTAAAGTATTCAGACCCCCAGTTAGCAAACATCCAAACAGTCTGTGTTGTATTAGTTTAATCAGGACTGTTTGTTGCTTCACCCATATGGATGTATCACTGTTAGAAAGTACGTGAAAATAGCATATAATTCAGTTTTTTTTTTTTTATTGAATAACTGTGAATGACAAAGTTACAAAGGTATTTATGATTTTCAGGCTGTATTGTTCCAACACCAATCCCTTCAGCAGTGCCCGCTGCTCTCGGCCAATGCCCCCAGCCTGCCTCTGTCAGTGTTTTTTAAGTGTGGTCAGTGGTAACCTTCACGTTCACTTTTTCTCTTGCCTCTAACAATCCAGTTATACCCAGCCAGTCATCCATTTTAAATACATGTTTACTTGGTGGCATGGGATGCCAGCCCTGTGCAGGGTGGCAACAGAGCCTCCAGTGCCTGAGGTGGCATTGGCTATGCTCTCTGTGGGTACGAGTGAACAGGCCGCAGCATTGCAGCAGGAAGTGGTGCTTGTCTGACTAAAGAAATGGGCCAGGGCTGTGGCTCTGGGTGACGTGTGTGTAGGGCCCAGACTCTGATGCTGATGCTTCAGGAATCAGAGAAGAGAAAGAAACCAGTGAGCTGCTCTAGAATCCCCTTACCCAAGAGCTGCTCTAGAGACCCCCTTACCTAGAACTGCTCTAGAGACCCCCTTACCTGAGAGCTGCTCTAGAGACTCCCTTACCCAGAGAGCTTCTCTGAAGACCCCCTAACCCAGAGAGCTGCTCTAGAGACCCCCTTGCCCAGAGAGCTGCTCTGGGGACCCCTTTGCCCAGAGAGCTGCTTTAGAGACCCCCTTGCCCAGGGAGCTGCTCTAGAGACCCCCTTGCCCAGAGAGCTGCTTTGGAGACCCCCTTACACACAGTGAGCTCTGCAGCAGACTCCCTTACCAGCCTTACCCAGAGACAGTGGGTTGGGGATGGGCCGCAAGGAGGAGACCGGTGGGCAGGGTAGAGAATCCAGCTTCTGGGGCAGCAGTTGCCCACTTGTGGCATCTGTTGGAAATACTGAGAGGGAAGTGGGTGCGGGGGGCGGGGCAGGGGCCTGGCAGGGCTGTTGCAAGAGTGGCCTTTTCATTTGTTTTTCCGTGTTTTTTTTTTTTTAACCACACCCAGCAGTGCTAGGGCTTACTCACGGCTCTGCAGCACTCAGGAGTTGCTCCTGGCAGGGCTCAGAGGACTGTGTGGGTGCCGGTGTGCGAGGCTAGTATCTTACTTGTTGTCCTGTTGCTCCAGCCCTGCACTCTTCTTGGAGTTGGTGTATTTGGACTCGGTGTGTTTTCCAGTTACTGTGGGCTTTAGTAGGGGTGGCATGGGGTGACTTGGCGCACTGAGGCCCCTGCTGCCATGCTCTCTGGCCGCAGTTGGTAGCTTGCCTGGGGGTGTCCACATCCTGCCTTCTTCCCCAGCGCTGGGCTTCTGCACTGCTAAAGCTTTCTGGAGTTGGGTGACCGTCTCAGAGAGAGGCCCACCAGTCTCCTGAGTGCCCACGCTGGACCCAGAGGCTGAGGGGTGTGAGTAGCACTGGGAAAGGCTGCTGGCTTCCTGGGAGCCGTGTGGGTGAGGCTGCGGGCAGGTCCTGGCGCGTGAGTATCCAGGGACAGGACGGTGGAGGCAACCCTTTCTGTTCTTCCTCTTTTCAGTTTTTTTCTTTTGTGTTTTGGGGCCACACCCTGCAATGCTCAGGGCTTGCTCTTGTCTGTGCACTCAGGAATCACCCTGGTGGGGCTTGGGAGACCCTATGGAGTG